ATCTGTACTGCGCAAATATCAATCCAGAAGAATTTTCCTCTGCGCAATAGGCTGGTTACACGTACAGTCTGGACTAAGTGGAACTCAATCTAGGGCGCAATCCTTTCAACCAAAATTTCCGAAAATTTCGGTCCAAAACTCAATGGATCGGTTCGGTCCAGCCGGAAAAGTTTCGAAAAAAAAACTGGTCCACCTTTTGAAGTAGTGGTAAGGAGGAGGCGTCTGAGGGAACACATATGAACAGCATATTGTCGTTTTGGCTCAGAAATGTGACGAATTTAACAATTTGGAGGGTTTTTAATTGGTAGTTGACTGTGCTTTTAGAACACAAGAATTGTATAAGATTCATAGTCAGTAGGAAACTCATAATCTTTTAAATTCTTATTTTTCACCCAAACTGGACATAAAATTATCAACTTTTGTTCCGCAACAACGTATATTTCGTAATCTCTAGAAACTACTGTACAAGGAATCCAGTGCATTTACTATACAATGTCAAATGGTCACACCGACAGAAAAATTCGATTTTATCAACTGAGTTTCGCCTCTATTAATTTTATTTAGACACATTGAATGTACACTTTTAAAATCTGAGTTGCTATAAAACTTAACAGAAACTCAAAATACCACCAGGTTACGTTGCAACGCCTACATTGTAGCTTAAGATAATTATTTATGGATTTTAATAACCATTTAGGAGCTTGATGCAGAAAAAAAATGCAAAATGTTATCAAACTATGTACAAACTAATGAAACTAATGAATGAATACACGAAATTCTATAAACTTGTAACATGTTTGTTTAGTTAACAAGACTTAAAAGAGCATAGTTCAATATGTGTCCCTTTAAGATCGAGAGCCAAGACGAGTCATTCTAAAAGGTGCGAGCAAGCCTCTTTCCATAACAGAAAAAATATAGAGAAGGAAACGACAACTTAAACTCTCAGATAAAAATGCAATGGCTAGCAATTAGTATGTTTTAAAACAGTTGGTTTGTTAACGAAATGTAAGAAATGGTAAACGAGAGATCCCAAGCGATCCCCTCTCTCTAAAAGTACATATAATCCTCCGTGACAGATCTTACACTAATTCAAAGGACAACAGGAACTAGTATAAGCAAAAATGACTTTATTGTTTGCCGGAAAAAAGCCAAGCCGCAGCAGGGGGGGAGCGAAACCGAAGGCTTACCCCCCTGATGCGGCTCGCGGATGGGTGGGTGGGGATATAAAAATACAAAGGCGGTTCTGCTAGCTAAGAATGACTGATACAAACGATGACATGTCGTGGGCTATAAGGGCAAACCCATGTCACGCAAATTCGAAGATTGACAATCGTTACTCAAATGTATCTTTAAATTCATGATAAATACAGCTCCATAAGGTTCAAAACAGTGTGAATGGCAGAGAACGATACTTCAACAATATTAATTTTCACAAGAGGGTGATGTGGCGATCGCATGGCCCGGTGGTTAGAAGCCGCACTTTTTTCGCTGGAGGAAGTTGGGATGCGCGTTCAAATCCGCGCGTGACGATTACCGTTTTTTTTTTACCCTTTAGCTTTTTACTTTTTATTCTCACTGCTGACCCTTTTAGCTTCGCGAGATTTTTGCGAAAACGTATTTCTAGTACAACCATTGGTCAGAGTCCAATACTTAACATAATCCTCCGTGACAGATCTTACACTAATTCAAAGGACAACAGGAACTATAAGCAAAAATGACTTCATTGTTTGCCGGAAAAATGCCAAGCCGCAGGGGGGGGGGGGAGCGAAACCGAAGGCCTACCCCCCTGATGCGGCTCTCCCAAACCGCCAGACAAAGAAAATCCGAAAGAAAAAAAAAAAGAAAAACGTGGGGAGGGGAGAGGGGAAAGAAAAAGTTTATAATAATTAAAGATAAAAGTTATGAATAGTCAATGTTTTGGGCAATCAGTTTCGCCACTGAGAGCCGCCGCTCAAGTGGTTGTGCGATATAAAGCAAAACAGCGTCCGAAGACCAGTCCCCTTGAAGACTGATAAGTTCCACGGGAGCACCGCAACGGAAGGCGTAGGAAGCTCCACCACGGCGAAAACTGTGGCCCGAGAATTTGTTGGCTGGGAAGCCTGCATGACTGAGAACCTTCCGCAATTTGTCGGTGAAGGCGGAGTGTGTAATGGGAGCAGCGTGACCTTTTCTGAAATGCAGGAAAGCAGGCGAAGGCTGGGTGACTGGGAATTCTAAAATGTGACGTTCATATGCGTGCACGATATAAAAATACAAAGGCGGTTCTGCTAGCTAAGAATGACTGATACAAACGATGACATGTCGTGGGCTATAAGGGGAAACCCATGTCACGCACATTCGAAGATTGACAATCGTTACTACGTATTATACAACCATTGGTCAGGGTCCAATACTTAACATATACTATGTGCTGCATGTGCTTTCTTTTCTTTTCTGCATGCTGTAGTTAAATGTTCTACGTCAGTGACGAGGGTTAATCTTGACAGTGGCTTGTTTTGCGATTCCAGGGACGCATGCCACAGCTGGTTGAACGATGACGTCATAAATTTCATCATCATTTACCGATGAATAGTCGTTCTCTTGTGTTTCCAGTGGCTTTTCGCTGACTGTATATCCAGGATTATCAAATTGACAGCTTGAGTGATAGCTTCCATTCTCCCATGGAGGATTCTCGTGGAGTGCGGAAACAGGATAATCCAACTGGCAGGTAGAATACTCATTCTTCGTTGTACCCACATTTGTCTCACAGGTTCCGTACGCGTGATTTTCAAACTTACAAGTTGATGATGCGGGAGTCGCCTTAGGGGCTTGTTTTTCCTTTCGTCTCTTGCACAAGAGGACTAAGCCCACGATACCTATAACTGATAAGGGAAGCGATCAACAAAAAATAGATTGTATAATAAACTTAAAGTGTAATAAATAAAATTCTTTACCATTTCTTTAAAAGGGAGAAGATGGTTTATAGATGAGATAACTATGCGCAGGCCCAGATAACTAGTAGTTTAAGGAGCAAAATGTATTATATGAAGTGGAAAGAATTTTGGCAAAAAATATTATGGCAATTGATTAAACCTAAGTAAACTATCTCTCCTCAGGAATTTTCTTTTTCCTTCTTTTGTTATTCTAAAAAAGGTAGCCTCCCACGCAGACTTCCTTTTTGCTCGTCACGCAATCCTCCCAACGAAGGAGGGTAAGGAACGGGAGACGAAGCCCAAAGAACGTCTGCGTGTGAGGCGATAAAAAAGGGAGATCTCTTTCCATCCCCTAGAAGCAAATGAAAGACTTACTGATGACTATAAGAACTGGTCCACCGATAATGACAGGGAGTTTCCATGGCAACTTTTCAGCATCATCACGCCCTTTTGTTTCGCCATCGTCTTTCGTTACATTAATTGATGGAGAGTCTGTCGTCATTTTCCCACTAAAATGCAACTATAAAACAAAAATTCGGACACTTTATAACCCCTAAAGGCAGATGAAATACTCATTCATAAAGCATTAATACCGATGCGCGAGGTACTGTTCTCCAGTGATGTATAAGATAAGGTGAACAAATAGCTAACACAAGAAGCAATCAGAGGGTGAGTTGGGTGTATGAAGTTATCATTTCATCAAGCGTGGTAGTGGCAGAGTTGTTTTTCCTTCATCTCAGTCGTCGTTGATTTTTCCAACGTTCCTGGGCATTTTAGGTGAGTAAAAACAGTTTGTACAGTTTAATAGAGTGTGTTCTTTGAACTCGACCTCACTCGAGTTCAGTTTAGTAAATGAATTTCTTCTCACTTGCAACCTATATTGTACAGATTATGCAAAGACATCAGACATTTTCGGAAATCGGATTGTTTTTTCCTCGTTGGCACTTGGTGATAGCTGTAACTAGTTACAATGAAAATGATAATGTTGACGAAAGTGTTATGTCCCTGATTTAAGGGCGGAAGCTAAGACACAATAGGCCACTTTCAAGTTCCCCCGGCCTCTGTATCAAAACGGGGTCAAGTGCTCAACCTTTAATTCATGCAAATGAAACTCGTTTTCACAAGGAAAGGTTGTGCATTTGAGGGTTTTTGCAATTCAGAAGTGGCCTTTTCAGACCGCTACCCAGAAGAACATCAGGAATGAACAGGAGTGAATCGTGATAACGATAACGATGACAATAATAAAGCAATATTGATATTTTCTCGCAATTTACCCCACATAGCTGGATTTTTAAGTACTGTTAAGTTTTTTTACCTTTCTTCCCCCATATTCTATTTCCACTCCTTTCCTCAATAGTTCTTTCAAGCGAGTTTCATCGACTTTTGCAGCATCTATGAACAAAACTACCTGGGTACAAAAAAGATTAAAATTAGTACATAAACCATAAGCTCATGTTGCAATGAACTTTGAATAGGTGATTTGCTCGTCATGGCGTCTTTTGATTACTTTTACCACAATTCTTAAGCACCTTGTGCACATTAGGGCAATTTTCACTTAAACCTCGCTGGGAATTCCAAATGTAGATATGAAAAATAAAACGAAATAGATTGTGCTAGTAGCTACAGTAATAAAATGATGCCATGTTGCAAATGGCCTGTTGTTCGAAAGTTTTTCTGGATTATTCAGATGCAGAACAATCACCCTTGGAGGTAGATATACCTCGAATCACGAAACAATTGCCAACTTAAGTATCCTGACTCTTAACTAGATATTTACCTCTGCTCCATGTTCGGTTACATTCATTTCAGGTTTCCTCTCTGTTACAGCATTGGTCTGCAATTTTGAAAACAATTTAGCGTGGAAAACGTCAAGAAAACAAAATTGACTGGCTAAAACTAAACCCTTCTTTATAAGAACCGAAATTTTCCATCTCGGCCTGAAAATAGATTCTGGTTTCTACTGATATTTTAGGTTTTTAAAACGTGCTGAATAAACAAAAGTAGCGGCCAAAGTATTAGGGAGTTTACGCAAGGGCGACGGCGACAGCTACGAAAACATCACTGAAACTCAAACTTAGGGCCTGTTTACACGGAGTATTTGTCTCGAGAATCAACGGAAATGCTTGCCCATGCATTTATTACATCTCGTATTGATTATTGTAACAGTCTTTTGTATGGGCTGCCCAACTACCAGCTTAACAAATTGCAGAGAGTTTTGAATGCCTCAGCCAGGCTAGTTTGTAATGCCCCTAGGTTTTGCCACATCTCACCCCTTCTTCGTGGTCTGCATTGGCTTCCTGTTAAAGCCCGGATAGAATTTAAGATACTGCTTATTACGTTCAAAGCAATTCACGGCCTTGCTCCTAAATATCTATGCGATTTACTAACATTTAAATCGTCCTTATATAACCTTAGATCTTCAGATAGTGTTTTACTTTCTATGCCAGCTGCTCGATCGAAGACGTTAGGTGATACAGCTTTTATGGTAGCAGCGCCAAGGCTCTGGAACTCTCTTCCAAAAGAACTTCGTGCGATTACCAATGTGAACAGTTTTAAGGCACATATTAAGACTTATCTTTTTAAAACTTTATTTTGGTGAGCAATTTTATATTCAGTTCTTACTTGCATGCATACATATTCTTTTTTTATTATTATTTTTTTAATGCATTATCTTATATTTGTTTCTTTTAAAGTAATGTAGTTCTAATGCGCAGCTGATCATTCTCATGTTAAGCTGCGCACAATAAGTTCATAAATTATTATTATTATTATTAGTGGGGGACCCCGGTCTACTCGGGTTGGTTTCTTTTGTTTTTACGCTCTGAGGAACACAAAACAAAAGAAACCTACCCCACTAAAAACGGGGGTCCCCCACTCCATGTAAACAGGGTCTTAATCGCGCTTATTCCATCTTTTTTTTTCGTCGAATGTTGGCAAATTTTTTTGGAGTTGAATTCTAAAGGACTGCATCAAAGTTCAGGAAAAGAAAGAGAAAGTTGTTGTCTTTTGTTCCCGTCCTAGACAAAACGTGAAATTGGGGCAGTTTCACGTTGTAGTCGTGCAACGACGGCAGAGAAATGTACGGAAAACGTAATGCACGTGCAAAGTTGTGGGAGAATTTTCATTGGTATGCTGCACCTCTATGGCACACGCGGGGAATATTAAGATATGGGCGAAAATAATTTCCGCGTATGCGAAGAAATGCAACATAACCGGGTTTTCGTCACTGAGGGGAGGAGGGGGGGCAAAAAACGCAAGTATATATGCCCTCTCAGGGCATGAACGCATAGAAAAGCGATCTGATCAGTGATCCTGATGTTGGCAAATCATTTAAATACCACGCTCAATACCCAGGGGTAATGCAAGGGTCCCAGGAGGGAAAACGTCCTAAGTTATGGGGCCTGCGTGCCCATTTCGGAACAAACATATCAATGAAATAGTTGTTTTGCTTGTCATGTCTAAGCCTTTTGCTTTTTTGCCAATCTCGTTGCCGTCGTCGTCATCATTGCGTAAACTCCCTATATTAAAGGTTGACAACTATATATATGTGAGGTGCAAAATTGTGACTTAAGCATAAAGTGCAACACCACATATGACTCTTCCCTAAAACAAAATCCACGGATCAAGAGAAGAGAAAATAAATTGTCAGTAATTGAGCCCCAGCGCTAGCATTTCTCCCCTTAGAATAAATTTTAATCCCTCCCCTAACGCAAAGGTAGACGAAGAAGACAATTTTTAGTAGTGCTTTCCCGAACTAATAAGTGTATAATGTAAATGACTGTATGTCCAATAAAATAAAAAAGTCTTACGACGAGAAATCCAGACACTTCTTCTTCTATCAAATGAAGAATTTTCTTCTTGTCTCTTATCATGTTCGAGGAATCCAGCTTTCCATGGAAAAACAACTAAAAATAAAATTGCTTTACGTCAGAAGTGACAAAATACGACATCAATTATGGTAGTACTAATATTGATAATGATATTAAGTTCGAACTTTAGGCAACCAAATTAAATCGTAAGGATTACCAAAGGACAAGCAATTTTTTAAAAAAAAAAGTATCTTAACAAACAACTAGGTCAGCTACGGGCGATGTGATACAACGATTGATAAAAATTTGATACCTTTAATTCAAGAATTCTCGTCGGAGATGAAGATGGGGAGGCAGTGACTGTTACTGGGGGTTCAACACTGAACGGAATGATGCTTGTTGGTTTTGTAATCTCTGTTGTGGTAAGAATTCAATAATAATTTAATCACTGACATTGCGCAAGTATTCATAAAAATGATCAAATGCGCATTACATTGGTAATAAAAGCATAAAAAAAACCTTTATAACATAGCGCGCGAGCTTGCCCTATACAAGTGCTATGAGCAAAATTTTTATTTAAGGTTTTTTTTTTTCATGATGACGTGTTCATCTGTGTTTTTCGTCTCTTTTCCTAAGTACCCAAAAATCGACGGCAATGATGAAAAACTTTCTAGATTTTTTTGGAATTTAGCTTCGTTTTAGCACTCAAACTAACAGCAAAAGCGGTGAAGATGTTTCACAAATAATAGAGCCTGAATGATTCGTTGAAAAATCTGCCGTAAAGACTGACATTTAAGTGGAAAAAAGACCACAAATTGGTCTGTGTCGGAATATATCTAATTTGTATAAAGTGTTCTCCGCTTTCAACGTTTGTTTATCCTTTACAAAACAAGTTAATCATAAAGTAAGCTCAACAGCGAAAATTTATGCACTTTTGTTATCGCCGAACAATCCGATTGGAGCAGGAAAATTTCTCTTGCAATAACAAGACAAGTTACACAATAAGACATAAATTTTTAGTTATTACTCACAAAAACAACTCCTGCCAGCTTTTCTCAAGAAGCTCAGAGTGCAAAGAAAGTCAGTTTTTCAGCCTGCCATTTGGCCAAGCTGTAGCTAGCATTTACTATCCCACAAGTAATTTCAACTAGCCGCCTAACCCTTTTTGATTAGCACAATTGACTGGATTGATTACAATCCTTCTGTAATTTGAATTTCCCCAAAAAACAGTACTTGCCCGTTGGGCAAGTTAAGAACAAAAATCACTAGCCCGATAGCAAAATCCACTAGCCCCGGGCTATCGGACACGACTTTCTTTGCACGCTGAAGTTGTAATGACCAGCGATTGTTCGTAAAATGAATATAAGTTTAAAGTAGGATAACAGTCGTCTTCGCTAACAGACAAGCTTCTGGATTTCGCCGAGCAAAACATAAACATCTTTTCAGCAAATCCAAACCATACTCCGCGACTTCTTAAGAACATGCGGGTATGGTGGACGTTAACACTCTTTTACCTTTGTTTCTGCTTAGTTTCCATTGATCGTTAAGGAATAAATAAGCAAATTTTCTTTCTCAGTTTTACAGAAAGAATTTTCATTCAAACTAGACGATCGTTGTGTTTTTGTAATCAGCCAATAGAAGCGTTTCTTATTGTGTCGCGCGTTACGAGAATTTTGCAGTTATCCAAAAAGCAAGCATTTTCGTCCGCTATGTTATAAAAGAATTTGCTCATGCTTTTAGCTGTTCGTATATCGAGTTATGGATGCTCTTCGGAAGTTTGGAGAGCACTCAAGAAGCTAGAGTTGCTTTTGGCTGCGCCTCGAGCAATTCTTACGCATCTTTCGTGCTCTCCAAACTTCCGAAGAGCATCCATAACTAAGCATGAACAAATTCTTAAATTTACAATACGAAAAACGACAAAAATATATACACTACTACAATAAAAATCTAAAATATTGATATGTAAAAATTAAAATTCATTTAACTATAAGGAAACTTAAAAAGGTGCGTCTTAAGATGGCGTTTAAAAGTATGTAAGTACGGAATGTCGCGAAGCTTGCGCGGAGGAGCATTCCATAACTTGGGGGCAGCCACCTGGATATATCATGACATTACAGCCACTTGTTGTATAATGAAAGAAACAAAAGAACCTTGAAAACGGAATTAAGTTGTAGTGAATTGTTAACTAAAAAAAAGAGAATCAAGGAAAGCGGTTTTTAACCGGTTACAAACTGAGATCATGTGTAGAGCAGAGGCACTCGTCAGACGAATAGTGTTCAACTGGAAACGTCAACCAGCTTTTTTCATCGAAAACAGTGATTGCTTACCAATACAATGGTTTCTATCAGCTGTTCCAGCAGAGGACGTAGTAAGATTTTGCCCACAGAAAAAACAAGATGGCCGACCTCTTGAAGGTTGGTAAGTACCGCGGGGACACAAGCTGCACGTTCTGTTTAGGGAACTGTACGAACCTGCTGGACAGTCAGCTATAAAAATGTAAAAACAAATTACGCGTAAACAGTCATTAATTACCTGAATGATAATGTTTAAATCGTAGCAAAACATTGCAGTGCGCGTGACTAATGTAGGCTAGCTTGTGTGCTACTTCTAAAAGTATGATATTCATGTCACCACCTTATAGAGATTTCGAGACACAAACTTGAAAAAAAGTTTGTTGATACTGATGTCGTTGAAGTACGACAACATCAATGTTTTTAGTTATGTACATGCTGCTTTCTGTACCCTAGGAAACATTCATTACCAATGCAGTCTGATTCCTTTGATGTTCCGTTCAAGGCTGTGGTGAAGTTTTGGCCACACAGAATACATTCTTTTTGGCCTTGATCAGGTTGATAAGTACCAAGTGGACATTTACTGCAGTTTCCACTCTCAGTATAGTACGAACCAGCTGAGCAGTTTGCTATTGAAACAATAAAAGTGATTAGAAACTCCATGTTACGAAGACCTATGTAACGTTAGTACCACTATGCGACACGTTTGAACGGAAAAAAGACGAAAAGCCATAACGAATGGTAATGTTATCAGTTACATCAGGGACTTTCACTAAATTTTACAGCTTAAATATTCAGCCAACAATTCTGGCAAGCGAATTGAAAATGACACTCACTTATACAATGTATTTTGTCCACTGTTCCATTTTTAGGTGTAGTCAGATTTTTTCTGCAGGAAATGCAAGATGGCCGCCCTCTATCAGGTTGGTAAGTGCCGCGGGGACATAAGACGCACTTTCGGTTGAGGGAACTGTATGAACCAGCCGGGCAGTTAGCTATAAAATTAATGTAACAATTGTCATTATTCATTCAAAATATTCACCCGTTTCTGATTGGTTAAAACCTCACGCATAATTCACCATAACCAGCCAGCTACTGTTGACCAAATTTGGAAAGAATTTTGCCACAGTGAACCGATGACGTCAAAATGACGTCAAAAGTGCAGCCTGGTTGCAGGTTATTAAATTGTTGACCGTGAAAACCTGGGGACGAGGTTGAGTTGTTTTGGTAGTGCGAACAAAATGGCGGAATAGTCGGCGGAATAATTTGCTCGTTTCACGGCGAAATATTGTCTAAAAACATGACAAGAACAGCATGAAGACGGACTACATCTGCTATTTGGAGTATATTTGCAGGCATGAATAGACCTTTATCTCCTAAACTTCCCGATAAAGATGCAGTATCGATAGGTTAGCATGTTTTAGCTCGTTTTTAAACTTGGAAGTATTTTTCTCGGAGAATGTCATCCACCTCGGCCTTCGGTCTCGGTGGATAACACCCTCCTCGATCTGCAGAATTCTTCATATCCTACGAAAGCCAAATTCAATAATTGCTAAATATTTCTGGCGGAACAAAACATAGCCCTGTGTAGATATTTTTCAGAAAATTCATTCAGTTTGGAATTATCGATTCAGCAGCTGCATATATTACAAATATGACAAATATGTTGTCTTATCAGTGCCCCTTAGATTTGAATACGAATACGAGTACGAAATCAAGTTTGGGAAAATATTCCGAAAGTACTACAGTCTATGGTAGTCTCGAAAAGAAACTATAAAAGAAACTATAAATGTTTTTGTTACAAAACCAGTGATAGCTTAAATCTTTATCTCTCGACTACTACCACAGGGGAATTCGCCACCTGACACACCCAACAACGTAAGAAGAACGAGCTAAGCTCATGCATACATTATGTAGCGCACATTACCAACGCAATCCAGTTCTTTTACTGTTCCATTCATGGCTGTAGTGAAGTTCTCGCCGCAGGAAATACACTTTTTTTGACCGTGAACAGGTTGGTATGCTCCAAGTGGACATGCACTACAATTGTTGGTCCCGGCATTGTAGTATGAACCAGAGGAACAGTTTGCTTTTAAAGCCAAAGATGGTAGATATTAGAATATGTTAGTGACCAGAACAAAGCCGGTTTCACTTCGCAGCAGTGTCTGAAGTATATGATGTTGAAACGGAAGGCCATTGAAGATACACAGAAATATTACAAAAAGATCACATTTGAAATGAAACCATGCAGCCTTACTCAAGGTAGTTTGGTAAGAGTTCTGATCTCATTCACGCTGGCTGAGGACAGGGGGCAGCTTTTGGTTTAGGATTCTAGGCGTAGAATTTTCTCAAGCGAAGGGCTAACGATGGAAAAAGCAGCCTTTCAATCCGTCTACAGTTTTATCTCGCCAGTAGACAAAACCGAAAAGTTCAGCGCATTGATCGTAGTACTAACTCCATTTCTCACTGGCTTACAAGTCGTGTGGTGGTCGAAGGCTACGCTCCTCTGACCCATCTTAAGTATTTTTTCTGATTACTTACTAGACTTAAGACGAGAGAACCATAACTAAAAAAAGAGAAAAAAAGCTATACTAATTCATTTGAAGAAACCAAGTAAAATGCCCTTGAACCTACTAAAACATAGGATTTTATCCACTGTTCCAGCTGACGTAGTGGTAAGATTTTGACCGCACGGAAGGCAAGACAGCCGACCTCTTGAAGGTTGGTAAGTGCCGCGTGGACACAAGATGCACGTTCTGTTTATGGGTGTACTAAATGAACCAGGTGGACAGTCAGCTACAAAGACGAACACAAGAAGAAAAGTCAGTAACTTAAAGTCTTTAATAAATGTTCCATCTTTAGAAACGATACGATGAAACCGGAGCGTCCGAATCTGAACATAAGCTATACAACAGAATAAAGAAATGGTTGCGGTTTTTGCGAAATAAAAAAAAACTGTTCCTTACAGTATCGAAGGTGTTTTTGGCTTCCTTTGGACAGGACAGTGTGAGTATAGATCTCTCTTATCGGTAATTTTTTTCTTTATTGTCTTATGATCTTTGAAACACAAAATGATCAAATCTTATTTGATTGGCTACCACGCCACAAGCAAACTAATGTAACGATATTAGTCAATGGACAACTTACCGATGCAATCTAATTCTTTTTCCATCCCTTTAAGCAGTGTGGTAAGATTTTCACCGCAGGGAATACATTCCTTTTGACCTTGTCCAGGTTGGTAAGTACCAGTTGCACATTTATCGCAATCGTCCTTCTCCGTGTTATAGTAGGAACCAGAAGAACAATTTGCTATTAAAGGAAATACCCATGTCAGCTAATTACGAATTTTGTTTTGCTTTGAATTTCATGAAATAATTAAAACAAGTGCAAAATAGGAGTTTGATTTTAGCTGACAAACCCACGCTCGTGCCCTCGATCCCCTTCCGTTGGGTTGGTAATAAAGTGTACACAAAGTAAAAATTGCATATACTCAAGGACAAGTTCATTACATATTAATCGCGTACCGGTCTTCCCATAACTTCTGAGTTTGGAGTGCTTAAATCTTATATGATCAAGGGCAAATATTTTCCCAAACATTAACTATAAAAACCTAACTGAGAATCTAGCGGAGCTATCATTTTCTATATCAATTTCGGTTATTGTCAATGTGGCCGAGTGGTCCGAATGGTCCGAGTGGTTAGAGGGCTAGACTTGCAATTCGGAGGCCCCGATTTCAAGTCCCGCTCAGACCGCTAGCTGAATTTGTTCATCAAATCTTTGGCCACGCTTGTAAATAGCCGCCTAGTTTGCCTCCAGACAGTTGGGAATCTTAACCCTGTTCGATTTAGATTATTTAGGCATTTGCTTGGCCGCACTTGCATTAGTGCTATAAATACTGCTTAGGGTAAATAACGGAATTATTACCAGAACTACTAGCAGTACTGTCAGTTTATAGCTGCACTTGCTATATTTGCGACAAGCAATTTTGTGTCCTTTATAATTAATGCGCTCCTCTGTGGTAGCTTTAAATTTGCCCCTATCTATGTTTCTGCTTTCTACTCCCTGACACTTATCAGACAGGCAACTTTTACATTTTTCAGAACCGGTCTGTTCCACAAAAGGAGTGAAATATTTCCATCGCCGCTTCACATTATTAGTTATCATTGGCTCAATACTGAAAATGGTCCTTGACAAACAAAAACTTTTCAGTTTGATTAAATAACAAATATTTGCTTCAAGACTTACTGATACATTGAAGTTTATCTGCTGTTCCATTTGATGGTGTAGTAAGATTTTGTCCGCAGGAAATGCAAGATGGCCTCCCTCTTTCAGGTTGGTAAGTGCCGCGGGGGCATAAGATGCACGTCCTGTTCAGGGTACTGTACGAGCCAGCTGGACAGTCAGCTGAACGGAAAGAGAAGAACGAGAACACGCAACATCAGTGGCATTGTTCTATGTATATATAGAATACTTCATGGAAAGTGCCTCGTACGGAATTTACGCACTCTGCGCTCACTCGTTCGATTTCTGATACAAAAACAACGAGTGCGTAAATACCGTACAAGGCACTTTATTATATACATACCGTGACATTCAACATTTTGCCAGTTTTTATTTCAAAGCTTTCAAATCCTAAAATAGCCAAAATATGCCGCTACACACCGCGAAATGACAAAGAAAAGACGCTTCATAAAAATTATAATTTGAGCAAGGATGTGAAGTAATCCAGTAATTACAAGTAATTTTAACTCTTTTTCTGTTTCTGGATGTACAATTAAAACTGAATGATTTTGAGTAAAATGACCGGTTTGAATATAAACAGAAACATATTAGCTATGCTCCAATAGAAAGTACAAGCTTACGTCTCGTTCGGTTTTTTTCCCTTCCGTGTTAGTTTACCGGTTATCTTCAAATTACTTCATCGATAGTGAATTTATATACAAATCTATTCCAATCCAGTTTCCGAGAACAACTCACAAAGGGAGGGTGCTGTACGGTACAAGTGCCTATAAAAGGCGGGAAATTTGGCGCGAAACTCACACACCTCTGTGGCTTTTGATTGGACGTATCATTTTTCTCACACGTCAAAAAACATCGTTTTTGCGGTTCTGATTGGGAGTAGCAGTTTTTGTTTTTTGTTTTTCTTTTTCACCTGTGAAAAACATCGTTCGCTCCTGATTGGCTACAACTCATTTGTGTATGAAAATTTACGTCATAGCTTTTCAGTGAGTATATTTCAGTAACTATCTAAAAAATTCCTATTCCGATCCAGAATACGGACAAACAAACGTGCCTTTTATTCAACTAGCTTCATTCACTTACCACTACATTGCTCTTCATTAACTGCTCCATTTGATAGGGTTGTAAGATTTATACCGCACAATATGCAAGATATCCGACCTCTTTCAGGTTGATAAGAGCCATGGGAACACAAGATGCACGTTCGGTTCACGAGTGTACTGTATGAACCAGCTGGACAGTCAGCTAGAAAAAATATACCCTCTTAACAATAGAACTTTAGATTCTAAGACGAGGACGGCTTCGAGAACTCAATTTTCACAATACTAAGTAGTGCGCTCGCGTGAGCCAGCGTCATTTTGGCGGGAAAACACGGTAGCCGTCGCCATTCCACTGCGGATTTTTGCGCAGAAAGTCACGGAAACAAGTTTTCGTAAGTTGGAAGCTTTAACATTTTGCGATCGGGAGATGTTATTTACTTTCTGGTAGAAAGGTAAAATGATGTTTCCTCAGGAGTCTAATTTTTGAGAATACGCGAAAAAAACTTTTACTAGATAAATATCGTCCTCTTCTTCAAATCTTAATATCTCAATTAACATTGAAAAAACGGCTGATAGATATATCCTCGTTATTTAATCAATAAGACTTAATTACTGAGAAAATAGATGATGAATGATTTACCAATTGCTGCCTTACCGATGCAATCCGATTCTTTTACTGTTCCATTTGAGAATGTGGTGAGGTTCTTGCCACATGGGATGCAGTCCTTTTTACCTTGTGAGGGTTGAAATGTACCAAGTGGACATTCAACACAGGTGTATTTCTCCATATCATAATACCAACCACCAGGACAGTTTGCTAAATACGGCAAAGAAAGAAGAAATAATAATCAGTCTTCAAACGTTCTCAATATCCAGTTCTCTCCAAAAGCCTCCACCTGGTCTGAATAGGGTTAAACAAAATCCAGTTCTGACTACGAGTATTTATTCGGTGATTAATTAACACAAAAGGGAGATCACCGTCTGAAATGGATCAAATAAAAATTAATAATCAATAAAATAAAAATGATAATAATTAATTAATGTCGTTAAATGATAATTGCCGCTGAATGACCGTTTTGTTTTGTCGTTCTGAGCTTATGCTGAATTTGGCGAGACTGAACTAAAACTCGACTTTACTAGTAACATGTACTCTTTGGCACTTTAATATCATCGACTGACGTGATACAATTCACTTCTCTGAAGATGACTACTGCACAAGTGACTAAACGTCAGTCACTGTCAACAACAGTCCCATTCAGGTCCACGTTCACCCGGACGATCATACTCAACCTACTTATGAAATGACTCCTGGGTTCAAACGTTTCATAGTTTTACTCTTTACTTCGTCAATTTCTATCATTTTTGCATATAAAACTATGTTTTAAACTTACTAATACAGAGTTTTTTGTCCACTGTTCCAGCTAAAGGGGTAGTCAGATTTTGTCCACAGGAAATACAAGAAAGCTTTCCTCTTGAAGGTTGGTAAGTGCCTCGGGGACATAAAATGCAAGTTCTGCTCATGTTCTTGAAAGAACCGGGTGGGCAGTCAGCTGTCAAGAGAGAATGAGAAAATATGCTGACCTTTTCAAGGTACAAGCCAAAAATTTTACGACTGCTTTTTATTTGGCGTGGCTTATCTCTACCCAAGGATAGTACAAAAGAACATTCAACACATTTCTCAAGGAATTTTTTAACTCAACTTTATGGGCAAGTAGTTTGAACTTCAACCTACTGATTGTCAATAGAGACTCAGTGCTCATTTGACTCATCACTGACTGAAAGGAATTCAATTTACCTTGCTTATTTGAACATAATATAACGAGGTCACAAGAAATATTGAGAATAAAGAAAATAAGAGTGTTTGGTGATACTGGTTGTCCAATCAGTAACCTGTTTTCTTCTGCACAAAAGAGATAACGGGCAGTGCAAAGAGCACAGTTTTTGCTATGAAAAGGGCGGGACTGGATTGAAAAACCGAACTCCTCACTGCATATCGAAGAGCAATTACCATGAATCACAACTAGTAGGCCAGACTAGTCCAGTAGCAAAGAAAATAGTTTGCTATTAAGAAAGGACTGTCCAGTTAGATTAGTCTCAACCTTAAAATAGTGTGTATTGGGGTGGTAGGTTTTTAGCGAATTTCTTTTTCAAGATGACCGGTCTGAAGCCGCTTGTTCTGACTTTTGGTACACGCCCTAGTATAATCAACATAAAACAATGACATGCAGCTATGCAAGGTCTTTTCATTGTCACCGCCAACCCATTCCAGTTACAGTACAGGCTAACAAGGAAGCTCAGACAATTAAATGGTGCTACAAACATACCGAAGCAATCTGATTCTTCAATTGTCCCATTCGAGGCTGTAGTGAGGTCATTACCGCAGGGAATACATTCCTTTTGACCTTGCACAGGCTGGTAAGTACCAACTGGACATTTGACACAGCTAGTGTTTTCTGCGTTGTAGTGTGAACCAGCAGGACAGTTTGCTAAAAGGTAGCGACATTTTTTTTGTTAGGAATCATAACACGATACGCACGTTTATTCGCCATGTAAAATGAACGAGAAGAGAAATGAACTATGCATAAGAAATGTGTTTGTGGTAACTAAAGATAGTTTGAACATTGATTTCAACTAAGAAAACGTCGATGTTCGATGTTTCTTTAAATGGAACAAGCAAAAACACATTTGCAAGAAAAATACTTGATGTTCTCCAGCAAGGTATCTCTTCGCTAAACAAGAAAAATAATGTGATTCGTGTACTTCTATCTTTTGTACAGTGTTCGGCTCGCATGGGCGGATTTGGGGTTGGTCCGAGGGGACAACCGCCTCCCTTTTTCTGTGATGTATCATTTTTATTTTAATTTTAAAGAATTCTTAGAGAAATTAATAGTATCTATATAGCGGCAAGCGTGCCGGTTTACCCGTTCTGAGTTTTCTGGATCCGTCCCCGTCTAGAGGACCGTTTGAAAGGCTCAATGTAAAACCTTTGGTTCTGTCGCTTCAATCTACAATACCTACCTCAGCTACTATACTAAACTAGCAGAGTTAACTAATACTGTACGCGAATACTTAAATACATAGAACATGAATACAAAGAACATAGGAATAAGAGAATTCATAATTTGAAAAATATTTGCGCATTTCTGTTTTCTGTCTCTTTGGTGATACACACTTAATACGCCGTGCTATGTTAATAGCAGCCTGTGAGCAAGCTCTCCATTTTGAGTGGCGAGTAAGCGAGTAAAAACAGTCGCGAGGGGCGGCGCACACGCATTTCCTTTCGTGTGCCGCTCTCGCGAGACTTCTGATCACCCCCCCCCCCCCAAAAGGAGAGCTTGCTTGCAGGCTTTATTAATAGTTAAGGTCATGTAAGGTATAACTGCAAGAAAACTGGAAACGTACCGCAAATAAAACCATTTCCACTTAGGTATTGTCCCTCGGGACATTTGGGAGGTAACGAGTAAACATGTACGCTGCCAGGTTCTCCAACCAGAGATGAGGTATTCCATGGAACTGTGAAAGTCTTGTTAATAACCTCTGTGTTAAACTGTTGTAGCTGTGTGAGTATGTTAGCCTTGGCAACTGCGATTACTTCAACGATATCTACATAAAATTTTAAGTTGTCTTGTTTCCAAGGTTTGTTTACAACGTTTAAAATGAATACCACGGACAGCCTTGAATCATTTCGCGAAAAATATTCTAATTGAGAAATTAACTCTTTTGACACATTCAGAGAGCTTGCCAAAGAGTGGAGGAGGATCCTTGTTAAACTCAAGTTTCTGTCAAGCGATGATGGCTCTATGTTAATGGATTCAGAATCACATGGAAGGGGATTTGGGACAGAGCTGTTAGAAGAATTTGAAGATGAATTCCAACAGCGAGTGGTGAGATTGAAGGCAACAAGTAGCCTTGGCAGACCAACTGTGTAATTTAATACATCTAATCGGGCTCTCTGTGTGACTGCTATTCCATGCGCGTTAGATGCATTGCAATAGTAATATCCTTCTTGTTGAAGATCAGGGTTAGCAATGAATAAAACAGGTCTGGTTTCATTGACTTTGATAGCCAACGAGTTCCTGGGTTGATAGAACCACTGAAAAGTGGGTAATGGGTTAGCAGTTGCATTGCAAGTGAATGTCACTGGCATTTGGCTTCTAAACACCACCCTCTGTGGCTTTGGATTATCAGTGATCACTGGTTTCCTATGAACTTTGACAAGTGTCACGTTGGAAACTGTGCTTCCTTTGTTGTTTGAGACAATACAATAATAAGCACCTTCATTTTCAGTGGTGATGTTACCTACGTGGAAAGTTCCATCCACTGATTCGCTTATGCTATTATCGTTTCGTCTCCAAGCATACTTTAATCTCTGTTCCTCTTTAGCACGACAGCTCAGTGTCAAGTTGTACCCAGGAAAGGTAATGACTTCTCCCTGAGAAGAGGATGTTATGCGTGGTAATCCACCACACAAAACCGAATCGTCGTACGTTAAATTCATTAACAAAGCAGCACTAGTGAGGGCTTGCTCGGCCTCTTGCATACTCATATCTTCAGTTGTTAATGATTTTATTACCTCTTTGAGTTGAGGAAGTGCCTCTTTGATCTCGAGGGCCCTTGGACTGTCTTCAAATTCGTAAAATTCTTTTGCTCCCGCAAAAAAGTATTCAATGCAGTCTTGTGTGCCAGAGCACTCTTCAAATTCTTTGGCAGAAGTAAAAACCTCGAGAAAAGCCCTCCAAGCTTCAAGACTATCATTCCAGTGTTGTGAAGAATCATTGTTCAATCCAATGATTCCATCTTTTAACACTTGTAACATTTCCACGTATTCTTCAAGAAACGAGTTGTTTGAGTTGTCACCGCTGCTAGCATTCAGTGATATATTTTGTGACAGAGAACTATTGACGGCAGTCTGGGTTAAAATTTCCAGTTCTCTTAAACCAGAGGAAAGATTAAAGTTCAATCCTTTAACTGAAGCAATAAGGTCTCCTAACGAATCAAACATGTTTTTCAAGTATTGGTGTGTTTTGTTCATAAACAGGCATGCATATTGGTAATCAGTGAAGCTAGAATCTACAGAATTAGTTGAGTTTTCTGAAATCGCTTCTGGAATGGATCGTTTTCTTCTTGAGTGTTCGCCAGCAAACAGTTTGGCAACAATGCTTTTGGACGCCGAGCTAATTGAACGTTCCACTTGGTTGAAATCAACAAGAAAGCGAATAGTTGCTCGTTTCCCACTGACTGTGCTCGCATTACTTTGAAAAGAAATCTTCCCAAAACCCTCGGATGGCACGAAAAGGGAAAATTTCAGTTCGTCAAGATCTACAACCTCCTTGCCGTCTGAGGCGTTTAAGGCCTCTGCTATTCTCAACCCAAAGTCAACAATTCGTCGAACGCGCACCAAAGAAGCATTGGTGATCTTCACTGCTGAAAATTGTTGATTCATGTGTGCTTCTACCTGCTTAAGCAATATAATTGCCTTCTCATGGTGCACTCTGGCTTTCTCAAAGGAAAACGTTGTAGTTTTCACCTCACTAGCAGCATTTCTTAACAAGAGAAATTCAGGTAACAAACTTCTATTCCGCACGTCTAATAGGAATTTGAGTTCCTTCAGGGAGTTTTCACACTCATTGTTGGTTGAGATGCATTGAGGATCTAACACTTTTGTTTCGCATCCTGTTTGCTTGCAACAACTGTAAGGGGGGCCATATCCACCAGGTTTTGTCCTTTCTGTTTGACCAGTACACTCGACTTTCTGGACGGCTGTGTCAACCGATTTGGTCTCGAAAACTTTTTCATAGTATTCGACAGTTCGATAGCCACCAATTACCGTTTCGTAGGTATCGTCACAACCACTGAAGGCGCCACCAATTACTCCACCAATTACTCCACCAACCAGTCCACCAATTGCAAATCCTTTCATTGCTCCATCAATGATTGATGGAGAAATATCCGATTTGCAGTTACCAGTATATATCACTTTATATATCGGAACCTGGAATCTTTGTTTTTCTTTTCTTGTTTGTACCTTTTCAACTTTTATGAAATTTTGTACTACATCACACTCATGCTCCAGAAATGTGATATTCTGAAGATCTTGACACAGATCGGGGACGGCACAGCCGTTTTCTAAACAGGTGTAGTTGCAATCCTGTATCTCACAAACTGCGCTTTCGAGGTCTTGGAAATGATAAAGTGTGCTGTTAAAACGCACTTTAGTTTGATGATACCTCAAGCGTGCTTCGCGAAGTGCGTTCTTCGCATTTTCTTTCTTGATCCTCAAGTCCTCGGCAGTGGACTTTTTCGATTGGAAGACCTCCTTTGCCAATGACAACTTCTTCTGCGCAGCATGGAAAGCCACTTGGGCACTCGCCAATCTTCGTGAAGCCTCTTTTGCTAACATTCTTGAATAGTTTGCGATCTTATCTTCGAAAAGAGTATGAAGACGCGAAGATCGGTTCATTTTTCCTTCCACTGCAAGCAAAATGGAATTCCATTTCTCAACGTTCTCTATTTAGGCTTTGACAGTTAAACGTGCATCAAACTCACCGAAAATGTCCCCCGATACTACGAAGGATAACTCATTTTCAATCATGGTAACAGTTACCTTTTCCATCACTCCAAGTACGTTTACAAGGCAATCAAAGGTGGTTGTGATTTGGTTACGTTGACGAGGGAGAAAAACGGTCACTGAACCACCAGCAGGGATTGCCATGAGGCCATTAAGAGAAATAGTTCGCAAAGCCGTTCCCTCGACAAGTAAACCAGCAACTTCTCTTTGTGTATTAGTACGACACTGGTTACCTTGTAAGGACCAAACAATTGCCTTTATGTTGGGGAAGCAGAGTCGCTTGTGACATATTTCAGCAACCAACTGGAAACGCAGTCCCAGGAGGTTCTGGTTAACAGGAGTTTTAGAAAACGATAGCGCGATGGTCTGTGGGATGTCTGCTTTTAATCGAACTATACGATCGATAACGGTTATTATGTCTGTTCGGTTTCTGTACGGTTGTAGCTGGGCTACGAGAAGGTCAAATGCCCTTGTTATCGTGTCAAGGTCATTGTCCAGCTTTCGTACAAGACGCTTTAGCTGAAACCAATTAGAACTCGAGGACAGAATTCGGCGAGCTTCAATAACGGAGGTCAGCATATTTTCTGCTACTACCTTCCACTTCCCGGTGTCATATCGCAGTTCCGGTACCGTATTCTCGACATCGAGAAGGATTCGTTTCATATCCTGCGTTTGCAATTCTAGAAACCTCAAATTGTACCTTCTATCCTCGGCTGAGTTGTCCTGTCCGCCGGTAACTGAATGGTATATTTGCAAGTATTTTAAACCAGCATTCGGTCTTATAATATGAGACAACAGATTTGCATTGAAGAGCTCGGCAGATCTGTCAAGTGTTAAAACGAATCCTTGAGGCACCTTGCAATCATCAGTGTAGCCTGTAAAAAGAGTTGTCCCTCAAAAGTAAAAAACAAAAAAGAAAAGAAAAAATAAGCATAATATAATAGAGTATAACTAGGAACGGGTAAATCGATGACCTTCTTTATTTTGTGAAAATAAATGAGTGAATATGCATGGAATACCTTCATTTGAAGAACCAAAACGTTACCAAATTAATGAAGCTTCTGATATAGGGCCAATTTTATGGTAGGTATCAACTTTTTGGAGCTTTCTCTAATAGTGTCATGGTCACTGATATGATGTAGTCAAAGAAACCAAATGATAAGTAAGTTTCATCGTTGTATTCTAACGCTTCTTCTATCTGTTCTGAGGACAAAACCAGGACTTCAACCTAGTAACGTCTGCATATATCTTTATTCAACTTTTCATTGCACCAGACAGGTTACGAAACTCATGGTTTGGGGAAAAAATTAAGATAAATGAGGCAACGAAGCCATGCTCAATATTCAAGATCGAAATTCCCCCAAAAAACTTACCGTCTGTTTCGTGATAAATGAAAACGATTAAGTTTCAGTGCAAACGAAGCTAAATCCAACGAACACAACATGGCTATGGCTAGCACCCAAATAAACTCGTGGCACGGGACAAAACTGCACAAGTCGAAGGTCCACAATGTAAGTTCGCATTCGACTGCTTCATTATCAGCTTCTATATTATTTTCTGATAACTTCAACGAACACTAACGGCATGAGTACTGTTCACGCCCGCTTCTAAGATTATCTCATTTTAAATGTACATGCTCCCTTGACAATTCCAGGATTACCGTATAGGACTTTTCAAAAACGGTGCTCAATGGACCGTGCAGAGTCGAACAACAGTAATGATATTGCCTAGCTCCTTTGCCTCCTGCTATAATGTAAAAACGTTTATGAATTATAAACATAATACCAAAAAATAGCTTCGAAAACATTTCTCACCTCCAAACTTTGCTTTTCCGATCATTTCGCTGGCATAAAATGTCAAAACAAATAACTCCCCAAGGGCTTGCAGGGTTATATTGAACTCAACGGAACCATGGAAAACAGATTTTATTGGCTGAGAAAAATAATTGGAGAATACCTGGAAGAAATGATAAACAGATATCTGTAAATGATAAACAGATCTTATTTTGTGTTTTTAATTGTGTAACCGCCGGGTCAGTTTTAAGGCCTAATGTGGACTATTCCTCAGGGCACGAGGAAAGATCCGAGGGAAAAAATATATATATAGTGTGTTGGCCCAAGACTAATTTCGGTTTGTGGCTACATTTTTAAAGACAAACGCCTGAGGATTACAAATAGACGCTAGCAAACAGAAAATGATTAGGCTTCGAAAAAGACATAGACGTAGTCAAGGACTTGTGGACCGAATTTACAGAACAATGAAACAAGAGGAAGTAATGCGTATAAGCAAAATAGCTTATGACACAGCCATCAATAATACCCCTTATAAGGCACATTTTGATGGTTTAGACATGGAAAAGTCATATGATACAGCAACTTTTCTAATCTGCATTAAGGATGTTAATTCAAACTTACGGCATCTAAGTCTTCTGAGAAAGCAAAGACTTCTCCACTTATTTTCATGTTCACAGAAATTCCTGAGTCACTACCAAGGTTGATGTTTGCACGTCCTTGCCACCACCAGTTATAATGAAAATCCGAGAAGTTTTCAGCCAAGTGACCATCTGGTACGTTGCCTACGATCTTGATGTATCGTCTCGGGGTTGTAAAACCAAAAGAAGATATCAGAAACTCCCATCCCCTACCAGCCATGTCTTGCATGAACTGCATCGTAGCAACTTTTTTGCTTGCATTTTGGGATAAAGTCATAAACTCCCCTGACTCACAAATATCAGAGGTAAAACATGAATCTTTGCTGGATAACGAAAGGTGGTTGTTTTCAACCGAGATGCTGTATCTAACCAGTGGACGATATAGGACTACAACTGATTGTTCGTTGTGCGGAAATCTGCAGGTTGGTCGAACGAGGTGGGCCTCATTGCTTTGAATGAGGTGGGCAAAAGTGTTTTCTACGTCAAATAACTCGTTATCTGCCCTTACCCTGACCGTTAACCACATCGGCAGTTGTTCCGAAAAGTATCTTAGAAAGGAATCGGGCAAGGCATCTTTTTGTATCAATTCCGTTAAGTCTCCCGCTGTAAGCTGGTTATCGGAACATTCGGGGGTTCGGGGTTGTTGGTCGACTTTCTGCATAGGATCGTTAACTTTGGTGAGTTCGATTAGTCTTCCCATAATTTTTTCTCGTGAAAAATGCGATGAAGAAAAATTGTACCCTATCAAGCTCAGCGGGATCGTCTTGTTGTGAGACGTAATAATATGGACAGAACCAGACTCAACGTTCGTACCGTTTAATTTTGTTGAGTTCGACTCAACAAGTAATCTGACATCACACGCCTTGAAATTCGTCAACTCCTGTTTTTGGCAACCAGCAGGTAATTCACCTACCAACAGTCCTAGTCGGGTGTAAATACTCTCTTCACTTGATACCTTACGACCTATAAATATGAAGCTTTCCTCTGGAACGGTAAAATCCTGTTTGTCGGTCCCTTGAAGACTATACGATACCGTCCCAAGGCCAGAATTGTGACCAATCAATTGAAAGGTTGCCCTTGAAGATGGATGTCGAATGATTAGTTCCTCGGGCTGGATGGTTATATTTATTGAAGGATGCAAGTTAATTATCAAAGATTCAGCTGGCTTTGCTTGCAGCTCAAGAGTGCCCGAGGGATTGCCAGACACCAGTTTGGGGAAGTCGGGAGGGTTAACTTCACCTCTTTCACAGTGAGCACCAACATATCCAGTCTGATCACAATCGCATGAAAACTGTTGTGAATCGATTATTAAACACTTGCCACCATGGCGGCAAGGGTTCGGCTTGCACAAGATTATCTCTGAAAAGAAAAGAACATTTAAAAAAAAAAAAAAGAGATAGTAATTGACTTAAAAAATGTATCTGGTAAGTAATATAACATATCCAGCATGAGAAAGAGTAGTTTCCACACTGCCAGCAGAACCTTTCTTTCGTTCGACGAATTTGGCGCACTCGAGAACGACTCTGCATGAATCGAGTAAGATCTTTCTTCAGCATGCGTAGCATGTTGCTAAGATATAGTTTCAAATCCAGGGCTTGCAGCCGAGCACTTGTTACAGCGAGCTCACTAAGTCTATCAGTTTATCAATTAACAGATGCTCGCACTCGAATAAACCTGTTTGACGAGAGGAAGCAACATTGACTAGTCTAGAAGTTTGGGCTGCGGTGACCTCAAAAGCTTGACACGATTCAGGCAGAGCGTCCTTTTCTCCTCCTCATTCAAGCAGACAAAAGGATGTTCTGCTCGCAAGGTGGAGTGTTTCAAGCTTCCTTCAGACATTATTGAAAAAAGTGGGTTAAAAAGTGAGGTACAACCTAGGTTTTTTATACCACTGTCATTAACTGACCAATTGTATAACAAAATTGCGTTATCCTATAAGTCAATACAGACCTTCACACGAAAAGGCCCCCATGTCCCACGCAACTTCGCTAGAATTAGTCAATCTGCAAGTGGCAACATTATCACCAACGGCAAAGAAGCCATCCACACAGCCACGTCTGCAGCTTGATTCAAAGGTAGAGTGACAAGGAAGGAACACTTTGCCTTTCTCAGGTGGTAGCAGCCGACCGCAACTTTTTGCTATGTTGAGAAGACGAGAGAAAAAATAAATGAAGTGATTGATATCTCTGAGCAATAACCATTTTCAGCTTTTGGTTTTAAGTTTGGTGGAACAATTGAGATCATGTGACATTGTCAAGGAAATCTTTCATTTCTCTCACCAAAATTATACCTAACGTGTAGTTAGGAAGCAACGGGCTATAAAAGGAATCGAGGCTGAAGTTGACCTTGTTTTGATATATTACCTTCCTTATGTAAATCATGCTGTTCTTATGTTAACTAGAATTTTTCAGGCATAATTTTCATAACAAAACATTAAGGAGGTTTGTATCAAAGCAAGGTCAAACTAACACCACCATCCACTTGACAGTCATTCTTTTCTGCCAAACTCTTGGTTCTGCTCTTGACCTTCCTCTTTGACTTAAATTATTACAAACGTTATCCAGTACAGAAATAAATACCCTTGATACTCTGCATGAGGAATAACAAAACATTCCTTAGACAGAATGTATTCTACTTCCAGTTCTATATGTCCTTCATATACATTTTTCTATGCCCCAATTAAATTCATACCATAGCAGTACGTTTGTTGTCCATTCCACTGAGAAGAATTGAGGCAAGTCCGTTTATGAGAACCTGATATTTGGTAGCCATCACTACACGTGAACGTGCAACTCTCATTGGTTACCAGGCCACTGCAGGTGATACGTCCATTTGGTGGAGCAGAGATGGCCTCACATGGAAGGCCTGTAAGGAGAGAAATTAAACCAATAACAAAAACAATCTTCTTGAGGGTAAATCATTTCGAGCAGCAGTACCTGCACTGGGGAATAAACAACCCTCTGAAAAGGTGAATGAGGCTCAGTAAGATATGAAGAATTATGCAGATCGAGAAAAATGTATAACAACCTCCAAGATCAGCATAATTATTCACATCGTACGAAAGCCGAATTCAACAATTGTTCCATTATTCTTCAGCTCCTGATTCTTTCAAAATCACTTTCTAAGCTCTTAACAAGCTTACCTCCTCGTAGACTCCACTTAGTCTCCACTAACTAGCCCGTTTTACGGTTACAAGTGGAAACGAGGCTGGAGTTGACCAATTGTCAGAACCAAAATTTATTGGATACATAGATACCAAATTTTCTTACCCAAGGTGCTCCACTGCGCTCGCTTCGAGCGTACGAGAGCTCCACTAATATCGACAATCTTGTGGGATATACAACATACAACATACAACCAATTCAGGTTTTACCTTGGCAGTTTCTCAAATCAAGTTTCAGTTTGTAGCCTTTGAAACATGAACAACCATAAGAGCCAGGCGTATTATGACAAATGTGTTGGCAAGAATGGGCTCCGCTTCTGCACTCGTCAATGTCTATGTTAAAGAGGGAAAAGTATAACTTTTTTAGTAATTGAACTAGTGATGATTCAGCGCATCAAAGGTTGATGTAATAGACTCACATTATCGAGATTGTTGCTATTAGATCAAACAAACAGTAGGGCTACATCTGACTTCAGATTAGGAGATCTTCAGACTATATGTCATGCTGTATGTCCCGTCAGCCTTATTTGGCGTGCAATTTGAGGCATATCAGTGTGATAAACCCTTACCTATACGTACTCTCAGGGCTAGATACATACTTGTTACGCGATGCTTTCGACTGTTATACCTTTAAATATCCTACGAATGATAACCTGATTTTTCGTAGTATTACATATCACAGGTTAAAATTGAGTCAGTTTAAAATTTTTTAACCTATAGGTTTATTCTCAATTTCGTTTGTCTCCAAGCCCAACCGCAGACCAATGACGCTGGAATGAAACTGGACAGGTGATAAAAGTAATTTAGCTAATCCTTACCCCGACATCTTTTTCCATCGTAAAGAAGACGGTATCCATTGTTGCAGCTGCATGTGTAGTTCCCTGGCGTGTTGTGACAGTTTTGATCGCATCCAGCTGGAATTATGGTCGTGTTTAGGCTTTTCACAAACACAGGATTGCATTCGTTTACGTCTGAAAGAAAAACCAGTTTACTATTCATGATCGACGCATATTTTTGTTATTTCAAAAGATGTCTCAGAAATGCCTTCTGAGCTTCCCAGAAAATTCTGCTGTTGGAAGGAAAAAATTCAGGAGGCGCCCTTGAAGACTACTCGTTTCTGTACAGTTTATTTACCAGAGTTGAATATCAGTGTTTGCTAAGTTAAGCTTGGCACGCATAAGATAACTGGGTAATGCTGACGCTGGCGGTTTACAACTCCACGCCCGAACGGAATAAAAGTGTCTATGTGTACCTCACAATATTCAAAATTTCGCGTTTTATGGAGGACGTAAATAAGCAACGACGAAATTTTATTTCTCTTTCGGAGCTTGAATATGGTCCCTTGAAATTCAGCTTTAGGAGGGTTCGCCTACAATTGACAAAGTAAGTGGGTAGGAATAATCGCTATAAAGACTGAAAAAATAAACATCAAACCAGAAATTGCTCTCTTCAAACTGTAAATTATAAAAGATCCTGAGAGAATATTCAGTGTGTTAAGGATTTCCCTGCTCTACTGTTAGCTCTATACAAGGGAGGAAGGGCGATTCTTTTTTAATTTCGGTTTCGCTGACACAGCTTTCGAAGAAATCTCTCTGTAGTCGTTTTCGTCGACAAAAGGAATAGCAAAATCGCTCTCCGCGTCTTCCCCCATTTTGTTCTGCGTCATTTCGTGAAGGACGCGTGGCTCTCAGCGTGGGTCATCCACGCGGAACACATTCGCGCTATGTGATTGGCTGTTGTCTAATCCCCCTTGAGATCTGTGGTGTTAAAAATAACTCGAGACGAATTACCCATTGAATAGGGTGTATATGGGGGATGCCCTCTCTGTCCCCTTTATAGTCTCTTGATTAATACCGATTATCATCGGAAATGATTAAAGTCATTCGTTGGCACAATTTTGTTTGTACGGTATTATAAGGTCATTCAGTCGTGATATTATGCAGTTCTTTTAACTGATAAAACATGTTTTATCACTAAAAAGATTTACACGCACACTGAAATAACAGTTTTCGCCGAAACAATTGCAAGTACGACCCCTCGAGGACTTCAATGGCCCTATATATACCGCAGTGAATTGGATTTCAATGTGAGCGAGATTGCAAGAAAAGAAATGCACGATGAAGTCGATGATGCAGGATTAAATGGGCATGCAAAGATCTTTTAAAACCAAAGAAACAAAAAATGGAACACGACGAGGAGTAGTTGCTGAAGTAAAAAAAAAAAGGTGTTAAGCTGAAGCCGGTCTCGTCGATGTTATTTGCCAAATAGCATCGCCATTCAGAATATCTGAGCTATATACTCTTGCTTGTCATCGATTTCTATAGATTGTTATCAATTTTGTTAATCGATAATAATCGAAAAATTATTTTCTCTGTGTTAGATTTCTTATAGACTGCAGGTAGTCCCCATTTTTCCTCACGGATCGTAGAGCGAGCAAAACGCGAATACCCGTGAAAATTCCCCCACGCGAGAAAGGCGTAGGGTGATTTTTACGCGCGCTCGCGTTTCACTCGCTCTACTATCCCCGAGGAAAAATTGGGGCCTACTCGTAGTTTGGATTTCTAAACGATCGGCAGATTAAATCAATTGTTATCGATTTCTATCGATTAACTACACCCAGCACTAATTCGCTGTTAAGACGAAAAAGTCTACCAAACAGTGATTGATCTCGCAATCTGGAGCAAATTCCTGGCGCTCAAAACGCAGTGATTATACCTGAGCAAGTTTTGTTATCATTGTTGAGTGCATATCCTGAATCACATGAACAGAAAAAGCTACCATGGAAATTATTGCACTTATATTCGCAGCCATGGTGTGAAGTTGAACATTCATCGTGATCTGCAACACAAAAATGTCAAACTTTTTAGAAACGTCAGGCTATGGGCTCCTGGTAACATCAATAACTTAATTCGACAATAAAAAACTCATAATTGCATTAGCAGCCCGCAGCCCGCAGCCCCCCCCCCCCAAAAAAAGACACTGGATTATAAACAATCACAAAGGCTTACTTTTACACAAAACGGCCATGTTCCTTCTTTCAAATATAACTACAGACGACTAGGAAATATTTGAACGTTGAACGCTCATTTCTCTCCACAGCTACCTCACATGCAGCTACTTACCTGAGCAAGATTGGCCATTCGAATCCAAGAAAAATCCTGGATTGCAGCGGCAAAAATACGAGCCTGCAGTGTTGACGCACTGCTGAGCGCAGAAACCATTGTTGGATAAACATTCGTTTACATCTGATAATGATAAGAGTAGGGAAGTAAGTCAGCACAGAAAGACCAAACCATCCCACATGTGATAGTCAAAGTACTAGTACCTCAGCATCAATATCAAGATCAGTTTTGAAAATCAACGGATGTATTAACACAGTTTTTACCTTCACAACTGGTGCCGTCGCTTCTGAGGCGAAAGCTCCTGTAACAACCGCAAGAGAAACTCCCTGGGGTGTTATAACATCTCTGAGAACATCCGCCATTTGCAGTAGAGCATTCATTGATATCTGAAACGAGGGATTAATGATTGCTGCTTAAGAAAATTCCGATCGTCAATTGTTAACCCTACCTCGATTAAATTTACATAGCCATAGAATATCTTTTTTAATTTCCTTTTAGGTCTACCAATAATTTACGCTTAAACTGTTCAAAGTTTTCCAAAATTGCAAATTACTAAGATTATTTAAAAGACTAAGGGCCATTTATTTAAACAGAGTTTAACCCCTGTTTAACAAAACCTCGTTCTAAGCCATTTTCAGTTTGCCCAACGCTTTTATTTAAACACCATTTGTCGTAAATAAAGCATATGGCGTAGACTGGAAGAGCACTTTTTCTTAAATTAAACCAGTGAGGAAGAGATCTTAATGTTCAATTATTTCTTAAACCGTGGCCTAAGTTGGACTTCGCATAAATAACCGGCCCTAAATGTTTGAGCATTTCAAACCCATCCCCTGTGTAACCCATCTGGTTGAATCATTTTGAACTACTTTAAAAATATTTTAAAATACAATTTTAAAAATGGAACAAAATGCGTTACCCTCGCAGACTGTTTTGGCGCCACTTTGTAACTGGAATCCTGGTGCGCATGAGCAGGTAAAGCTACCAATGGTATTTGTACAATTTTCTCCGCATTGTCCCCTGCCCAAACTACAGGTGCAGGGACTTTCGATAGCGTCACATTCATCAATGTCTAGAAAGTAAAATATCAATGTAAAGGTACAAAGTAAAATTTAGGAAATAATGCCTGATCTCAAACAACAACATAACGCTTGCTTAGAAAAGATACACGCAAATAGTCATCTTTAGTTTCTGTCTAAGTCATCATTAAAAGGGGCACTGGATGTACATGGATTGAAACTTGAAAATATTGGTCCAACTTATACAATTTTTGCTGCTAAGCAGGGAAAAGTCACCGGAAATATTATCATGGCTATTCAGTGCTCACTGAGTGAATTTGTTTAATATTTTTTGAACTATACAGGAGCAGTTTATGTATGGGCAAAGACATTTTAAAGTAATGACTTAAGCAAGAATTTGACCTAAAACAGCAATATCCTTGTTTGTGTCATAGCTCCTCAGTTTAATGTAATAACCTTTAATGCGAGATGGTTTCGGCGTTATTGGAATTTCTAAAACAAAAATTACAGAAGAAAAGGGGTTAGATTTTAATCCTACTATACCGGGTTACTCATTTGAATACGATCATACACCTCTAGCTGCTGCAGGTGTTGGCATGTTTGTTAAAGATTCTTTAAATTATACGGTAACAGAAAGGAGGTCAGAAAGAACCTCCAAAGAAGCTTTCCAGGCCTTATGGATTGAGATTCAATTTTCTGGGCGCCCAAATATAATCTGCGGAATTATAAGATAGGCAGCGTAATTCACCACAACGCTTTCAAGATTACTTTGACGAAACAATGGAAAGGCTCTCCGCCTCAACCAAATAGCTCTGTATCAATGGGTGACTTCAACATAAACCTACTCGGTGTCGAAAAATGCAATTACGGGCATAATTTTCTACTTTCATCACAAAGCTTTTCTTTTATCCCGACAATTGATAAACCATCCCGTGTCCATAATAATTCAGCTACGTTAATTGACAATATCCTATGAAATAGATTTCATTATATATCACCAGCGGGAATATTGTTTGCGACGTTAGCGATTATTATTCACAATTCTGTATTCTCAACTCTGTTAAAGAAGAAATGTTTAACCGGAAAACAAAAAAAACGTTATTTCTCTAACTTTTCAGAAATAAACATTCCACACAGCACGCCATTCCTGATATTGCAAATACCATACAAAGTAACCTGAACAAGCAACTATTTACATGTGGAATTTTTATAGATCTAAAAAAAGCTTTTGATACAGTAGACCACTCAGTTTTATCAAATAAGTTATACCATTATGGAATTCGAGGGATTATCAATGACTGGTTTTCGTTTTACTTATCCGGGCGTAAGTATTGCAGTAAATTCATGCATATCCAGAAAACAAATAGTCCCATATGGAGTTCCTCAGGGCTCTGTATTAGGCCGTCTGCTATTCTCAATATACATAAACGATATTTTCAATTCTTCAAAAAAGTTTGACTTTTATTTATTTGCTGACGATACGAATATGCTTTTTGCTGGAGACGACCATTTACAGAGAACTTAAATTATTTTGTCAATGGTTGGATGCAAATAAATTATCTCTGAATGTAAAAAAGTGAAATTACGTTATTTTTCTCCCCCGTCAGAAGAAACTATAAATTATCAAATTACTTTAATGGTGACTGATAATAGTACAAATGGATATTCTCCACTTGAATGTAAAGATCCTGTTGAATATCTGGGTATATTAATTAATATTAATCACCTATGCTGGAAATATCACATTGATTACATAGTACTCGCCAAACTTAGCAAAGTCATTGTGGTTATAGCTCGTTTGAGACATTTCGTTCTATTTCATACCCTACATAGCATTTGTCACTCTTTACTGTTTCCTTATTTGTCATACGGTCTGGTTGTCCGGGGTCAGGCTACGGAATCACATTTGAATAAAATATTACTGCTTCAAAAACCGTTGCAAAGACGTCTTTAAGCAACCGCCTTTTGTTGCTTACAGACGTAGCTCTAATCTTCGTGACCTTTTAGTTAAAGTACAACTATCCGTTATCTCCACCAATCATTTTCCGCCAGGCTCCTTCCGTTGTGGACAGAATTGTGCCACTTGTCCATACATTACTAACGGCCTCACAAGTTATCCCTTTTACGCTACAGGTGAAACACGCTCCATCACTTCACACATTACTTGTAACACTAAAATGTGATCTACATGGTTCAATGTAACCGTTGTAATTTACAATATATAGGTGAAACTAAGCGACGTCTCAAGGACAGATTTAACGAACACAGACGTGCAGTCGACAAAACTAACATTAAATCTAAACCCACTACTGTTTCTGAACACTTTCTCTCTCACTCTGACCATTCTCATACTGACATGCAGTTAATCCCACTGGAGAAAATTCATTCTTCACGTGACTCAGTTCGTAAGGCCAGGGAGTCGCATTTGATAGATAAGGCCATGACTCTTGAACCTCATGGGCTAAACCGCCGTGACGAATTATTGTAATCCATATCCTTAGTATTTTTCCTTTCCAGTTTTTATGTTGTAGGTCATTTCCGCCTCTCCCATTTATTGCGACATTCTCCATTTATATAATATTGTGATTGCTACATAAGTTAAGTAACATCTGTAAACCTGAAGAAGGCTGGTATGGCCAGCCGAAATATTGTTATAAAAAACAATACACGTTGTTTTAAATCAGCTTTGCAGTAGTCTTTGGACTTCTCGTTCTTGGTTCTTTATATTTTGGCTGATTTGATCTTTTTTCTAGAGATCCAACGTTTTCAACTAGCAGGATCTTCGTCCACGGTTTTTGCAGCTAATTTAATCCTTTACGTATAATACATTTTTCTAACTCCAGAGCCCATGGAGTCCCTTCGTTTGTTTTTGCAAAAATTTTACCTCTAAATATGCTGTACTTTTGAGACAGTGTCGAATCTAATGTATGATATCTAAAAAAACTCTGGCCCGGAAAATATCTGTAATAACTTTTAATTATCAGATATAGTTCAATTCTCTCCTACAATACCAGGGCCTCCACGTCGGAAGTATTCGTGCACGACCCAACTGAGTAATTCTATTGCAATTTTGGAACCAAAATATGGAATTGCCTTTCACTTGAAATACGCAGACTCCTAAGAACTACTTTTACACAAAAAATTCGAGACCTCTTCTTTCGAATTTTCGACGCCGAAGACAGTTATATATGTTGACTCACCCACTCTGTTGAATAAAATAGCGAAGCAGCGGTCATAACTGAAATCTACGATTAATATACTGAGTAAGCCATAACTATTGTATATGATTTTTTTTTTCAACTAACTGTTTATATTACACAGTCTATATAATAAGTTTCCTTTCAGTGATATTACTAGGAGCGAATGTTAATTTTTGTTCTTGTTTCTAACAACCCGCTTCGATTAGCTATGCTAACTGCGGGTTTTCAATGTTTGAAATATTGTTCTTTTAAAAACGAAATAAAGTGTTGTTATTGTTGATCGAGGTGCTTACCATTTACGCAAAGCACTCGGATCGAGGTCTTGTGCATAAGCATATATATATATATATATATGCTTATGCACAAGACCTCGATCCGAGTGCTTTGCGTATATATATATATATACATATATACAACTATAAAATTTGACGTGGTGGGAGCACCAGCTGCCTCAAAGTATATTCAAATCAGCTGAACAGATTTACAAAGAGTAGAAAAATTGCATCAGCTCAAATCAAAACCCGTATTTTCGAAGCTTCCCAAAAAGAAGGGCGCGTAACATTCCAAGCGGAATTTCCAGAATTTCCAGTTTTCCAGTGTAAACGGTAAGTACCCGGCGAGGTAAACTATACCTGTGCATCCATAAAATCCATCTTTGGTATATCCTTGGTTACAGAGACATTCATAGGAACCGTAATTGTTGCTACACCTTTGATCACATCCGCCATTATTTGTTGCACATTCATCCAAGTCTACATGTAAATAGGATAAATGAGGCTATAAATGAGGCTATTTAACAATTATTCCTGGAGCCCGAATGGGCTCTGAGTCTTCGGCCTCATGTGCTATTGACTCAGAGGCCATGGGGGCGAGAGGAATAATTGTTTTAGAAAAACCCAACTAGTTGGTAAAAAATATCGAGACAAAACAACTTTAGCTAGTTAAAGCTGGACGTAAATCCCTTTTTGCCGCCAAAAAGCCTGCGATTTTCGCTACTAGTGGGCTATAACATTTAGCCTTGTAGTAGCTCAGTCAATCAATCAGAACGCAGCATTGATAATAGACCACTAGTTGAATTTTACTAATATATGATATGTTATGAAGAAAGGAAGTTTTCATGAGGGTTGGGGGAACGCGTACGCCCCTTGTCGAGAACACTTTTTTTAACTAAATCATGTCATATACATCACGGGCACACGAACGTTTGATAAGTAATGCAGAGACATTCGCTTCACATAAGTGTGGCCCAGAAAGGAGTCCTGGCATTGACGCCTTATGTGGGATGAGATTGTTGGTGGTTCCTTCTCTTGCTTAGAGGCTTTTCTCCGCGTACTCCCGCTCAACATTTTGATCCAGAATATGGTAAACAATATAGAGCCGACTTTGTGGAAATGCCCCCCCTAAATTCATAACTTTATTTTCATTTATCTATTTATTCGCAGTGGAAGTGGACACTGAAGCATGGAAAGAAAATAAAAATAAAATACCTGAGTGACAGGCACTACCGGTCCATCCCGGAAAACAAGCACAGTTATCAGGTGACTGGCAGATACCACGATCGGAATGACATCCTTGCGTACATATTGCTGGTATAAAGAACATTTATTATTACAGTAGAACCCCAGTAACTCGAACTTTGAAGGGGATGAGTGAAAAGCAGTTCAAGTTAGCGGGGATTCGAGTTATCAGATCGATTGGATATTCAATCAGCCAGGTTAATAATCGATAGTTCCTAATTTTAAAGCGCTTTGGTGTATATTGTACAGTGCAAATTTAACTTATTTCATCAGAAAGGGTGACATGATTATGCTTTCTTGAGTTAAAACCCGATCTTTTCGTTGCATCAAGATCAAATTGCTGCACCAGCCTCTGTTAGTTTTCACGGTCATATACCGATTGTAAAACAAGAAGAGCTGATGGAATCGAATCCAAGTGGAGTTGCAAGAGCCAGAATTCGAGTTATCGGAGGTAAATTTCAGACAGTGATATTTTTTTATCAAGGGAAAGGGAACTTAGTTCGAGTTCGCGAGGGATGGAGAGAAGTGTGACGTCACGTTACCATGGTAGCATTATTTCTGTCAACAAACCCAACGACGAAGGCAACGGCAAGGAGAACGGCAAAAAATAATATGTCTGTATTAACCAACGACAACTTTGCACCTGCATTATGCTACTTTGTTTATTTTTTTTGCCTTCATTGCAGCACTATGACATGAAACTTCCTAATTTCACAAGCGCGCTTTATTGAATAGGTGAACACGACACAAAAATTGTCGCTTTCTCTTTCTAAACTTAGATAACTATAGATGCGATCCCAAAGAAAATTTAGCCAAGATTTGCCAAATTAAATAAAACTGAATAAGATCGGTGAAGTTTGAAATAGTGCGAATAGACTTTTAAGCGACTTTATCGGTTTGTTGCCATCCAAAAATTCTGCTGCCATGGCAACGTGACGTAACGACTTCTCTCTATTCGAGTCGTCCGAGTTCGAGTTCACCGAGTGAAAATGACTGAAAAGTGGGGGTGAAATCCGAGGGAAATGGGACGGGGGAGTTCGAGTTATCCGGGTCCTCCTGTACGTGTGAAGCTGTACAAGACGATTAGAGTGTTAAAATCGGCTCCTGGGCCGAGTTGTTCAAAGCTGCGTTAAGATAACCTAGGGTTAGTGCGAGATTTGAATTCGGATTTGAAAGCTTAAAAGCATTTCAGTTTTAATTCTTTTTGTCTACAGGTTGATGATCGGAAGCTCTAAAAATAACAGAGAAAATTATGCAAGAATATGCTTTTGAGCACAAGAAAAAGAAACCAGGGTTAAATTAAACCCCAGGTTAAGCGCTAATCGGCCTTCGAACAACTAGGCCCAGAATGTTAAGGTAATTCGGCTCTTTTCTACAAGTTTACTTTAATCAAGAGATTTTGATTTGTTAAAATATCATTTTCTTTTTTTCGCGCACAGTTGTTTGTTATCGGTGTATTTAGCTAACTACCTTATCCCGAGCTCTCAGAGACTTCGCGAAAATGAAACAAGCCAATAAGAAACAAGACGCGCGATCCGGGGAAGGGGCGTTGGCGGGAAAATAGCCCTCTTCTCCCCAGCCCCTGCACATTTTCCGCATCACTTTATTCTTCGCTTACTTCGCGCACTACTATCTTGGAGCCGGGGACTAGCTATACTAGAGCTCAAATCAACTGTACCTTTTAAGCATTCTTTTGAATCAGAAGATGCCTTCTGCCAGCCACTACAACAATATATGACCGTCACGGTAATTTCCCTTGTTCTGTCGACAGGGCGGTGCTCTATCCTTGATCTTTAAACAGAATAAAACACATTTACTATAGTAAATAGTAAACTGAAAGAATGTAATAGTTATACAAATTAGTAATGCGTAAGCTGTCGTAACATTGATGTCAGTTTCTGAGTTTTCCCCGCGTCTCCCGAACAAAAAGGGAGGAAGGACTGCCTGCGAATATTACCCTGTTCCGATCTGGAAACTAGGTGTATTATTAAATTTGCCAAAACAATAAGATCGGTAAGTGACACTACACAAATTAAACTAGAATATAGCATACTTGAATACCCAAAAATACAGAAAAAGACACCACAACAGTGAGCGCCATTTACTGTGGGCTTAACCTGCTGACCAACTTCTCCATTTCGAATCACGGTTAGCGTCTCTAATGCACGTGAATTCTCCCGAAATCTCCCAAAAGGAGAGCTTGCTCTCGGGCTACAAAAATTTGCCTACCTTGAACTAGAGCATCGGGACCAACAACAACAAAAGCCACAACATGTGCTGGTAGTAGTGAATACTACAACTTGCGTGGTAGTTTGATACCGAACAGTTTGCTGGGTCTGCCTGGAGCACACGTTTCTCCTAAAATGAAACACAGTGAAACCTTTATTAAGCGGACACCTTCGGAACCTTCCCAAGTGTCCGCTTAATAGAGGTTTGTGAAAATTGCGCAATGTTTGTTGACGATTAACTTTTCAACGGTTACTCTGTACTGTGATAACGTTTCATGTCGTTAAGGGAGCTAAGGAAGCTGTGTTGTACTTTGTGCAAGACTTTCGGTCTAATCTACAGTTTATTAACAGCTAAGTGTATTGATTTATCTTTATTAATCGACTACAGTACGTATTTCAAGGAAATCCAATATATTAATATTGTCAATTCCGATCTAGAGGTTATTAACAATAAAAATTAGCCAAATACAATTTTTTTACTGTCCGCTGAATAGGGGTTCGTTATAAAGGGAAATATAAGACGTTAATTTCAGGACCCGGCTTGGTGTCCTCTTAATGGAGGGTGTCCGCTTAATTGGGGGCCCGCTTAATAGAGGTTTCACTGTATAAAAGGAAATCGGTAACTCAGCAGCAGAGCTTTCCGTGTCGACCTTCAACCAGGGTCTGGAAGGGGAGAGGGAGGCTGATCCTGCATTACCGCGATTTTTTTTTTTCACAACACCCACATCCCCAACTTCTGTCATCTCTCTCCCGAATACTGTTTTCTTTCCCATTACCGCCTCTCGTACCGAGTGACCGATACTCGCTGGAAGGCAATCGAAAGGGAAGAGAAGGGGCATTTCGGGTGCCTGAGAAGCGCGAAGGGCGCTCGAGGAAGGAGGTCTCGTGCCCAAATTCCCTTCCTTCTCGCTTTCGAAAGTTCAGTCACACCCTGTGAAAGCGCAAGAGCACTGCAAGTTAATTTCCGTTATTCATTATGGTCTGCAGGGCAATACACAAAACTTTTACGTGTTCCGCTATGACTTGCGGTACGCTTGGTCAGGAAAGCATAACAATTACCCAATTCTGCATGCAAAACGAAACGAATCAGGATTATAAAATAAAGTCTTTTGTCTTAAACAGGATAACGAAATAAACAATTTTTGTCTCAGTAACGTGGTCAGGTTTTGAAGGCTTCGGCGGTATACCTTTACTCAAACTGACCTTAAGTGTCCTCCCCCCCCCCCAATCCCGGGGATTAGGATCATGACATGCCTTGAGAAAGTATTGAATGCAAGGCTGGTGATACGGCAAAGGGGTGATTTTTCAGTAGCCAATACTTTGGCTAACAAAATTTGTCTTTCTTCGGATCGGGCCAGAGCTACGCTGAAAGACAATTCTGCAAGAGTTTTTCCCCTAGAATGAAAGGGTTAATTTTCACAAATGGTTAACGATTAACTATATATGGAAAGTTTGGCCTTTACTGTAACCTGGGTCAGCATGATCTCAAGCTACTGCTACTGGCCATGGGTGGTCCGCTTCAATTAAAATATAAATTCCCAGGGTTTTTTTTCTTAAACGGGGCAACTTCATGTCTTTTTCCCCGAAATGAAAAGCGGACTCATTTTCCAAAATGGCCGGAGAAAGTCATTTTTGGGGGGAGGGGAGGAAGAGTAGGAAAAGGCTTCAAAAGGTTGTTTTGTGGTTCGAAAGCAGACAAACTTTTTAATAACCTAATATAATTTTGAAATCTTTAAGAAGGGAGGGTTTCAGTCGGAGACTTTTTTAATCCTAGATCCAAAACAACGAAATTGAAAACGAGATACCGGGTCTCACTTTTATGCTTCCAATAAAGTGAATACTAAAAAAAAGCAGTATTAGGAGTATTATTACAGGTTTGATCCACTCAGTGACTTAACGAAAGCTAGAAGAACAGGAACAAAAGCGTCTCCCTTAAACTCTATTCTTCATGCAAATTCTGCAAAAACTTTTTTCTTTCTATTTTTTCTATTAGCCTAGCTG